CTCACACAAACACACACACACACACACACACACACACACACACTCACTCACTCTCTCTAAAACACACACACACACACACACACACACACACACACACACACACACACACACACACACCCACAAACATAGTTTAGTCTGCCTGTGTATATAGGCAGACTGCCTGAGAAGTGCAATAAGCGTGGCTTGCGGTGCTTTTAAAACATTTGTGAGTGGTCAAAAATGTCAACACGTGGATCCTAAACCTAACCTTAGCCAGTGATGTGAGCTTGAGGCAACTTGATGACTTGTTGTTCTGAATAACAGAAAAGGGATACAAAAGTGGGTATGAGTTTTTGTGAACAACACATCATTCTCTAAAATCTGAAAGCCCCTCTATCATACAGTACATACTTACTCTGCAACTCGATTTGGCTAAATATATCAGCATCTAAATGATATGTTGCTTAGTATTTTGTTTGTAATTAGCTCTTTGTAATTAACACACACATTGCATCATCATCAATGCATCAGTTTGTTTGGCCACTCAATGTATCTGTAGGTATGCGTCTGCACATTAGGCCTCACCTGGTCGGTTTTCTGGTGGAAGTTAGCAGACATCTCCAGCAGCGTGCTCCTCTCATCCAGTGCAGCGGCAAACGCTTTCCACTCCTGTTCCAGCTGACCTGAGATCTGCTGAATCTGCTGGGTTGCATAGTGACCCGACTCCAGCAGCCTGTTCCCCACGGACATGATCCGACTGATGTTCACATACACATTCTGCAAGAGACCACAAAAACACTGAGTGCTATATACACTGCATCACTTCCTGAATTAGTTTTTGTTATGATGACACATTTATACTGAACAAGGGGAATATGGTAGTGGCACAGCTAAAACAAATCAAAACATAATGATTCTTGTCTTTGATTTGAGGGCTGAATTGGAAAAAAATAAGTTGCTTCAAACACAAAATGTTCTTTTTTTTGCCTTTAATATTATTGATTAAAATAGAAATGATATGGGAATATGCCAGATCTTCTCAGAAACCGTATAAACAGCAGTTCACTCGTAACTGCTCCTGCAGGGGGGAGTAGTTCTCGTCTGACCACAGACACACATACACAGCTCTGGAACATGTGTGTGAATAAGAACGGAAAAGCATCTTAAGCCAAGAGGAAGAATTATGGATAGAGTTCAGACAATTAAATAAATGTTCCAGTGTGATTTAACAGCTGAAACTACAACATGTGAAAATGCACTGTAAACAATGCTAGATTGCTTACATGCAGCTCTGACATAAAATATCTGGTTTCACTTTATTTTGATGGTCCATTTAACACATTCTTTTGACTATAAGTAATGTTGCACTTACATATCTTTTAACTCTTACAATAATGTTAGTAGAGTATTAGTAGAGTGGTAGGGTTAGGGTTAGATTAAGTAGACATGTACTTGCAAAGTTACTTATAGTCAGTAGGATGTCTGTTGGGAGACCATCACTATAAAGACTTAGCAGATATTAATCCGATAGTCTACTAATACTCTAATGAGAGTTAGTTGACATGTAAGTGCAAGGTTACTTATTGTCAACAAAATGTTCTAAAGGGACCATCAAAATAAAGTGTTACCAAATATCTTAACAGATATAAAACAATGACCCAGTCACAGTAAACCATAGTGTGAAATTTGATGGTTATCATATGATATGCATTTGCTTTTCTATAGTACTTTAATGATAAGAAATGAATACTTTCAATTCATTGTTGCTGTGTTAGACAACTAGATAGCATAATATATTATTTGCAGTAAAAATGTAGAACACATCAGAGAAAAAAAACAAAAAACAAAAACAAATGTTAAAATTTTCAGTGGCTGGGGAAAATCAGTATTAACCAGCAACACAACAGCATAACTTTTCACTATCCAATCAAATGTCTTTAGATAGAATCAAGCTCCACCCTACATTATTTCCACCTAAATCTTCTGTTTCACCTGGAAACACGTCACATAATCAGAGAAAGCAAGAGTGTGCTCTCTGACGTAATGGGAGCGTCTGTATGTGTGTTCTAAGGGAGAACTAAAGTCTAGTGCATGAGAGCGCTGGTAGAACGTCGAGCTCTGGTTACCATGCTGTTTCCTCACATGGGGCTAATTACACAGCCCAGAGGCATTCAAAAGGGAATAGGATCAATACACAGAGAGCTGTCAGATGAAAACCTGATGGGGGTTTGGTATCGGCCTGCGTGCATCAATAAACTGCAGCAGTCGTGTCCATGCATGTGAAAACCTGAAGCAATACCATAGTCACATGCACATACTAAAACACACATTCAAACTCTTGAACCCTTAGCTTTAAATCACGTCCCAGTATAATGCAATGGATGCACAATACTAAGGTGACTATGTCAGTAATTTTATCATTTTTTATTTTTGGTATTGATGTGAATCTATGCGCTCATCTGTTATACATTAACATAATTCTATAAACTTTGGAAGATGTGCACACCCACTAAATCTGTTGTCAATTTTACCAAAAAATTGCATTTAAAGATGACCATTTCTAAATAATCCAGCCTGCATATGTAGATAAAACAAGCCACTGGTGCCCACATGCGCAAATGTATTTCCACCAGATGAAGTCAGGATGGAAAATAGGGTTACTAACTCTCTATATCACTCACCCCGAGCTTGGCTTCAGAGCTGCTCGGAGAAGATAGACATGCACCACTAAACACAAATTCATCAAATTCCTCTGTTATGTATCACAGGCCTTGTGGAAACAATCAAGAGCTTCTGGTATCATTTTCATGTAAATCTAAAGCAGCTTAAAGAAACCTCTGGCTAAACATATGCTAAATATAATAGGTGCTATTTTCATGTCAATGGCCAGCATGTGGTTCATTAGCAAAACTGACTTTCACATGGAGGGCACATCAAAGAAATCAGTTTGTATGATTTACATAAATGTACACAACTCAAGAATCATGTTTGTTGCAGAAATGAGACTGGACAAAGTGTACATTTCTAAGTATATATACATATATTGTTACGTTTTTGAAAGATGTCTTATATGCTCACCAAGGCTGCATTTATTATCAAAATTACAGTAAAATAGTAGTATTGTGAGATAATATTGCAATTTAAAATTACTTTTTTTCATTCTTATATAAGAAATCATGGTAACACTTTACAATAAGGTTTGTACAATAAGGTAAATTTGTTAAGCCGGGGCTTCCCCTCACGCTAGGCCGCTGTGTTTTTCGGTTTCCAAAAGGCGGGGCATAGAGGAGAAACGATAATGTACAGTATGTGGAAAATAATGTGTTTTTTAAACTTTAAACCGCATAAACACATTTCATTACACCAAATACACCAAATAATGTTCTTTTTAGCAGCATCACATGACCCCTTTAACATTAGTTAACTACATTAGTTAACCTAAACAGTGAAAAAAATAACATTTATTAATCTTAGTATTAATATCAAAGGTTGTAAATTAATTTTATTTAATTGACCTGAGCTAACATGGACTAACAATGAACAGTTGTATATATATTATATATATATATTTGTACCTGCAACTATTTTTAATTTAATTTAATGCATCCTTCCTTAATAAAAGTATGCATTTCTTTCAAAGACAAAAATCATACTGTCCCCAAACGTGTGAACAGTAGTGTATATATATTTGAAATACCTATGTTTCTGTTTATTTAATTTTACACGTTACATTTTTATATTTACAGTTCATTTTCAATTTTCTTTTTCTGTTACAAACACATGTACACTGCTCCAATGAGGAGAATTTTTTTCTTTTTTTTTTACAGTTTTTTTATTAGTATTCTGGTCAAGCACCTGTTATAATTATATTTTGGACAGAAAAAACTTTTGCAAAACCATAAGCCATCATCTCATCCCAAAACAGAAAACATCATGAAAAAGACACTTGAGCGTAAAAGGAGAGTACAGACAAAGAAAGTGCTTTACAGTACCTACATTTACACAGATCACATTACAGAACCTGAACACAGCCAAGACACACATACCGCAGAGCAAAAGCCTTCCTCACACTTCATGACAGTACTGGACCCTGCAGTCTACTTCAACAGAGAGAGTTTACCCTTCACTCTCACGACTCCCAGGTTTCATATTATTACAGTAAACCTCTTTTCTCTTACAAATACAGGATGATTAGAAAAGGAGTGCCTGGAACATTATATCTCCCTCTGGATATCTCTGGGTCTAATCAATACACCAGCATGATGGGAGATTATTACCCAGCCATGTATAAAATGCCTTTAGCCAGAGGAGTGTTTTCTACATGTTGTCCTCCAGACTGTCTTTCATAAAAGAGTGGGAGCTGAGTTAATTTACAACTTGACAAGCGTAACGTTCCGCTCAGGTGACATTACCCCTGGACCTCAATGATATAGCTGCTTAAGCATGTCTATTACGAAAGCTTACAACCAGGCCCCCAGTGTGCCATGTGATGAACACTGACGTCTCCATAAATCGCCTATTGAATTACTGTCAATACATACGGCAAATGCCACAGAACCTGCAGGCTATTAACCCCAAGCCTACTGTATCATATTTGATATGCAAAATTCTCTAAATACTGCTAATTATCAACATGATCAAAACACGCATTCTGCTTTTTTTTTTTTCTAGGTCTTTTTAGTTGTGGTTCTGTGAAATCTTTACTGACTATTAGTAGGTAATATAAAATAACTTTTATATTATTAGCAATGTCAAGATGAACACTTACTGGACTGAAGCATCTTAGGTTTACATTATCCATATTCTTTCGACTTTTTTTTTTTTGAAAAATCATGTTAAAGTATGAAATATGATATATTTTTTTTATTTGTACATTTCCCAAACGGCACTGCATTGCATTATACTGAATGTTTTGCCCTCCCACAATAAAAACAACAGTTTTGATCATTTAACTAAGTATTTAAATATCATCTTACTGAGAATTATTATTATTACTGAAATAATATTATTATAAGAATTACATTATTATATTATTAGTGATCTAATGTTTCTGTGAATTTTATGTAAGCAGTCTGCTACACTGTTATAAAGATCTTGTTGATTTACATTACAATTACATGCCATCAGATTTTTATCCTACTTTTCTTACACTGAATCTTACATCAAATTATATATTTTTTTGCTCAGTTTGGGCCTTTGAATAAACTTTTTTCTCTCTCTTTGAGTATGAGTTACATATTCTCCTATATCATCTATATGATATATTATTATTATTATTGCAAACACATATGTCAGGTTTTACAGGGTTAAACTGTAGAAATATAGGGGGTGGTCTATCAGCACAGAGCATTATTGTTTATTACAAAACTAAAATGCTTTTAAAAGTCTGTTTCCAGTAATCATAACAACAGAGAAGTGTCTCCCCGGACAACGTATTTTAGTAGTATTAGGTAAGAAAGGATGTGATAAACACAACAAACACAAAACGAGCATTATCACCTTATCAAGCAATACACTTAATCTAACAATATAACCAAGTTAACACAAAAAGTGTTTACGTCCAAATCATGCCTCATATCAGACGGGAAGTAAGGCTCCGAGGACTTCCTGAGGAGGTGGCTGTAGTGCCCCTGGCTGCCCGGCAGTCAGGCTAACCCAAAGCAAACAGTTGACAAAGCATTTCATCCGTTAAGTTGTGCACAGTTATAGCAACGTGAGAGGGGGGTGGACTGTTCTCACAGCTGAGGCAGGACATGTGATTTTAGCACACTCAGCCAAACCTAACACACTAACAAAAGAGCAACAAAGAGCCCGATGAAAACCTATAAAAACATCCTAGCAATTGGCAAGGTCTGTAACCTTAATTTCTGAAAATTCATGAGGGTGGAGAACATGAATGCATGAAAATAGTAATAATAATAATTAGCTGCAGTAACTACATTCTACTATCTACATTTATTTTGCTTCTATATCTATATTGTTTGTTTTCTTACGTTTATGAACATCTCCTTTGTCTCCATTTCTTTATTGTTTATCGAAATCGGTTTTGTTTCCATATCTATATTGTTTATCAAGAACTGTTTCAACTATGTCGTTTTTTTTATTGTTTATGTAACTGTTTTCATACAAACTAAACAAACAAAAATTAATGTAATAAAAATAATCAATTGAATGAGGCAGTAATATACATTTAAAAGCCTCATTCATGAAACATATGTAAGTTTATGCATAAATTCAGAGTAATTTGGCTGTAAATTGGACCTAAAAACTCTCCTTTGGATTTGCGAATACTTCATAAACCTTAGATTTTATATAAAGCTAAAGTAATTTGTGAAGTGAAAGTAATTTCATTGTTGTTTATCAATTAAATTTATTTTCACTTTTAACTCAATGGTTAACCAATTAATTTTATTATATATTATCACGGTAAATAATGTTATCAAAATACAATTTAATCAGTTTGCCTGAAAGAAAACAAAAGTTTTATGCACATTTTACACACAGTTGGGAGCAAATAACACTTTCATAAATACGAAAATTTATATCAGAATGGCTTTACGAACAATTTTAATCATGACAACTCTCTGAACATTTTAGCATGGTGATGGATATGACAATGTTAATGTATTTGGTCTTGGCGGAACAGATCTGCTACGCTGCTGCTGAATTGCTGCTGCTGTTGGTTATTGCTGTAGTTGTAGATTATTGCTTCTGCTGCATGCAGGAACTTGCTACTGCCAATGCATATGGCGATACAGTGCAGTGAGTATTTAAGACATACTGCTGCTGCACAAATAGCATATAAAATAACCCCGTAGCAGATCTATACAGGTGGAGCTGGGGAAGGTGGAGGGTTTCAGAGAACTCTGAAAGCGCGCTGCAGGAATCTCAAGAGAATGCTAGCCGCCATATAAATGCAAGGCAGTAAGCTCATTGGCTGCATATGCAGCATGAACCAATCAGCTTGTGCCAAGTCGTTTAACTCTCTGAATATCATTGGTTACGTTAACAACTCGTCGCCTGCACCATCTAGAGTTTCATGACTGAACTATACAAAAATGTATTCTACTCATGTTTCATGAATGATACTCAATGTGTGCTTTAAGTGTTGAAAATGTAAGCACCACTTACATTTTCCTCAAAAAATGCAAAAATCTAATTTGCAGTTATTAAACTTAATGACTTAAAGATTAAATATGTTTTTTATATATATTCAAACATAAAAGTATATCAACTACTGGTCTGTTTAATCATTATTAGGGTTTAATGGCTTATTAATGAAAGTTAAAAGTGTTACCAGATTTATATCCTTCAAATTTAAGAAAGATTCTCTGTGAATTCCCAAAATATGAAAGCATTTAAAACTACATGGATCATTTGTATGAAGACACACTGCAAGAAAATACATGCTGTAGACCAGTGGTCGCCAACCAGTCGATCACGACTCTTTATCACTGTCCCAGTAGATCCCGAAAAAAACAGTAAAATAAGTACAAAAATGCATTACATCTATGGGGTTATATTAATGTATCACTGAAGGGTACTGTCTTGAGAAAAGTTTCGATGGCAATGGCATTTTCTTCTCCGTATAAAGGGCAACTCTGCTTTGTTTACAGCGGTAAACAAGGAAACGCTATATTGCGGTCGGTTCATAAGCAGTGTTGCCAAGTCCGCGGTTTTCC